ACGAAGTGTCGGATGCCCACTTCCTCCAAGAGAGCGGTCTCGTTGAACCGTGCTCCTTCTTCTCCAACGTAGAGCCCGAGATCCTGTCCATCCCGACGAAGCCCGGTGAGGATTTGAATGTTCTCCTCATTCAAATAGATGTCCACCCCGTTGACGTTAGAGATCAACGCTCCGTCCTCATCCTTTTTCAAGTTCGAGTAGAAAGCTCGAACAAGAAAGGGGTGATAATTGACCTTCTTGATGTAGAGGAGGTCGAGGAAGTTTCCACGTTCGAGGATAACTCGTGCCTCACGTGGAGTGGAGTCATGAATGAAGCGGGCTGTGGAGAATCGGGGAGGGAGAATCTCTCGGTGCTCAAATTTCTCCGAGAACTGCGTCGCCTCTGCGTGGTCGTTGAACCAAAGGAACGACCCGTCGAGGTACTTGTGCGCCGGTGAAGGAGGAGCCGAGGAAGAAGCCACGTTCTTGCCGGTGCGAGAACGCTTTCTTTGACCGCCTGCCATTGCAACAAGAGAGGAGAGAGAGATTGCAGAAATTTTGAAAAAAAATGAAGAATAATAGCAAGAATGATGAATTATGATGAATATATTGAGAGAAGATGATTGGAATGAATAAAAATGAAGTAGATATCACCAATATATAGTGGAAGAGGTGTAGAGATCCGTTGGAATGGTCAAACAAGGTTTAAATGCTCCTCCAACGTCTCTGCAACGGTCAGATTTTTGAAAAATCGCCGTTGATAATCGATTTACACTCCCTGTAAATCGATTATCTGAGTCTTCAGATTCTCCGCCAAAGAAACTGCAGGCTTCAATAATCGATTTCTGCCTGGTTGTAAATCGATTGTTGTAGTTTGCGCCTGAGTTGCCTTTAACTTCTGCAGGCTTAAATAATCGATTATCTTATAGTTGATAATCGATTATTGCTGGTTTGCGCCTGACTTTTGAGAAAGTTCTGCAGCCCCTGATAATCGATTATCTTAATGCTGATAATCGATTGTTGGCTCCTTCAGTTTCTTTGCTCCAACTCCTGTGGGTTGTGATAGTCGATTATCACAAGCCTGTAAATCGATTTACACCAGGTCTGGAGATAAAAAGTCGATTTGCTTTGTTCCCCCTGACTTTGACACCTGAAAATAAAATTAAAAAAGAGCCCTGCAAAAAAGAATTAAAAACGTCTCCAACGTTCAAGTTAGTAGGGACCAAAAATAATAATTAATGCACAATTTAGATCATCGTGGAGTCAAGGATTCCGAGTTCACTACGAATGCGGAAGAACGACTCTTTCTCTAAAGGTTTTGTGAAAATGTCGGCTAATTGGTTGTGTGTTTCAACGAACTCAATTTCGACATCACCTTTGAGAACATGATCTCTAATGAAATGATGCCTAATGTCAATATGTTTCGTCCTTGAGTGAAGAACCGGATTCTT